GAGCCATCGGAGGTAGGACAGAAACAGTGGGCGTACAGGGGCATTGCTACTCCAGAGTGCCAGGAGAGGCTGAGGCAGGGGTGGCACTCTGCCCTGGCTGGGGACAGTCTTCTGGCAGCAGTGGAATTTGAGGAGCTCCACAGGATTGGCCATTGGAACTGGAGGGGAGAGTAGGCCTCCCAAAGACTCAGCAAGGTGGCAGGGTGGCCACCCAGGCCTGGGAGGAGGAATGTGGATGTTTGCACTGGCCTAGGGGCTCAGGCAGGAGGTTAAGGAGGGGGCTGGGGCTATGGTCTAGGCAAGGGAGGCACTTGGGAGGCCCCTGGAATCATTGGCCTGGGTGGGGGGATGACTGAGCTACAGCCTGAGAAGCTCCAGGGAAGGGTGGAGAGTGAGGGGACAGGGCCTGGTGTCCTGGAGAGTCCAGCTCCACCTACCCCTCTGACTGTATACACCTGGCTGGGCCTTGGGGAAAGGGTTCCTTGCGAAAGACTGATCCAGAGAGATAAGTGGCCCCTCAGGACACAGGCTGAGAGGCCATTGACCCTGCAGGCTCTGAGGCTTTGAAGCACCCCCGGGTTTGCTTGTCTTATGAAACAGCAATGGGCAGTGGGTCGATGCTTCTGGAAACAGCATGGAGGCTCAAAGGAAGAGTGCAGCTCCAAGCCTGGAGAAAGATCAGGACCCTGGCCTACCAGTGGGCTTCCTTCCTGCACGTTAGCACCCTAAAGGGAAGGCACAGGGAAGGGGTTTGATTTGTTTGGGATCACACAGCTAGAAAGGGCTCCTCATACCAGCACCCTTCTTCCAGACCCCTTGGGAAGGTGTGAGTGGGTGAAAGGGCCCCTCTTTTCCTGGTCCTGGGTCACAAAGACTCAGACCTGGGGCTTATCCTTGAGAAACTCTAGTTCTGGAGGTGAAGATGGCATGCATGGGACAACATTAAAACTGCCTTTGATTAACATGTTTCCAGGCACAGAGGTCAGGGAGGAAATACTCTGGCATGGTTTTTGTGGATGACTAGAAGTATGGTGAGACATGTGGGGGCTATT